AAAAAGCATCAGTTTACTTATCTTTTAATTACTATATAATCCGCATTAAAATTCAAATCAATCATTAAAATAATGATAATTTACAGATTTATTATTATCTCATCTCTTTTCATTGAAATATTATATTGTATTAATCAATTTTAAAATAAATATTAATATTTAATAATTACGTATGTAAAATAATATCTTATATAATTAATATGTCTCAAAGTATTGTTTAACTATTTTCCAGTCATAAAAACGAATCGAGTCTATTCAAATTTCTATCTATGGTACCATAAATTCCCTTCAAATCGACACAGCTTTAAATTCGTATTTTTTTACGGTATCACCGAGAGTTCTCTTTTTTTCTTTGTCGGTTTTTCGAAGTCATTCGCGCGAGTCGAGTTCGAACTCGGTTGACCGGTCGGACGAGCCGGATCGGCCTTGCTCGAACACCTCAGAGTCTAAGCCTCCATCATCATCGTCGTCATCAGCATCAACCTCAGTCTCGTCTTCGTTGGCCACTTCTTTGTTATCCAGTCTAGTCAACAAATAATCTAAAAGGCTACCGCCAATGTCTGTCCCCAAGTGTTATAGAAGCTCCAAAAGTGCTTCCGAGTTACCCTCTTGTTTCTCATCCGGTATCGAATTTTAATTCGTGCTCTAGAGATACGAAAATATACAATGAAAAATCTCGACGAGAATATAATTTCTGTCATCGCGAGGAAAAAAATTTATTGCTCAAAAATATTATAATAAATTTGAAAAACACGCCAAATGATCCAGCATATCGCGAATCTCCGCGACTTGTTTACGAGATATGGGACTCGTAGCGAATTCGCACATGTCCAGAGTCCTCCAGGCTCTTCTTCCTCGGGTGAGCAATACCGGACGAGAGCACGAAGGGGCGAGAGGAAAGAGGGAAGGAGGGAAGAAAGATCGAAAGGGGAGGGAAGGAAAGGAAAGACGGGAGAAAACGGCAGGATACTCGATTCCCTCGGCGCGGTGCGGTGCGGAATGGCTGGCAGAGATGATGCTAGGGGCAACTCTCGCTTTGTCCAGGAACCGGTCGACGTGCCTACCAGGAGGCAGGCAGGCACGCATCGATCCGCCAATCGCGACGGTGCCTTAAGCGCGTTGCACAATGTTGCTGCCGATGACGACAATGTCGACGACGAGAGCTTTCCCCGAAAGCTCTCGCCTACCTGCCTCACATTTTTTTAAGAGAGATTATACTTTCTATTATTAATATATTTTTATTTTTAAATCTCGTCTGATTTTTAAATCCTTGTGTTATTATTATTATTTTATTATTTTCTATTATTTATTTATTTATTATTATTTATTATTTTATTTATTATTTTATTTATTTGTTTTATTTATTATTATTTTATTTATTATAATATTTATTTGTTTTATTATTTTATTTACTTGTTTTACTTATTTTATTTATTTTATCTATTTTATTTATTTGTTTATTATTTTTTAATGATAGATTCTCTTTCTTGGCCAAAAGTTTCGGGAGATTTTCTTTCGTAAGAAAATATTGAGAATTATGATAATTTTGCATTCCAAAGAGATTGTCGTCTTTCGCGACTTTAAATCCTTCTGCTACCCGTTGAGAAAAATGTATCCCTCGACAGTTCCCTGTCAGTCTGATCTCTCTAGAGTTCCGGAAAACTCCCCGGCGTGCAAAATCGCCCTAGGCTATCGTTTCTCGGCTATCGCGATTGCAGAATGCGAAAAAATATTTCTTCATATCGATGTGTAATTATATTATCGATATGTGATTCTTATTTTTAGATAACGAGAAAAATTGTGATAAAGATAAATGATGTGTAAGCAAAATAACTTGCCTTTTCTTGTGCTGTCAATCTCGAATAGACTCTTGATTTCGATTCGACGAACGTTTTTATTAAAGTTGCGAGCAATTGCGATAAGAAGAAAGATTTCTTTCTTTAATGAGGGAGATAAAGAGAAATCGTTTACGAGAATGATTTATATAAAGAAAGCGGAGTCGGAAACTCACCCTTCTCGGCATGATTTTCCCGGCGAGATCTCGCGGTTGTTTGCGTTGAAAGACATGCAAAGGCCATCAATCATGCCCTGAAACAGCAATAGAGATGTTACGACGTAGCAAAGAGATATCATATTCCTGTAATCGTAAAGTTCAATTCGGGATCGAGCACTCGTCGAGATAAATCTTTTAGCAATACAGATTTTGTTATGCTGAAAGAGATGCGAGGTCTTGTGTCTCTTCAAAATTGTACGCTAGTAAATAATATAAATTGTTCTGAAATATTGCTAATTTTTCTAAAGAACCTATAAAAAAATCTTTCATCAAATAAAATGTCAATAATATTAATATTTTACATATGTTTGAGAATACAAAGTTACTTTAAATAAAATCCGTATTAAATTCTATAAAGTTGATTTAAAAACTGATGTTTTTTTCTCTATTTTCAATTTGCAAAACTTCTTTCATTAAATTTAATTTTAAAAACACTTTTATATTTAAAGATAAAACAGCACTTATAGAAAATTTGTAAAAAAAAAAGTAAAAATAATTCTCAGATCTCTCATGAGTGAGATTATTTTTTAATGATAGATTTCATCTCCAGAAATATTGGCAAGATTTTTTTCGCGAGAAAATATTGAGACTTAAATAATTTACGTTCTAAATATAATTTTCAGATTCAAAAGTAATTTTTTAATTGTTATATTTCGAAGAGACGATCAATGTCTCTAAATTGAAACATAAATCCGTTTTTTTTTCTAGTATTCTTCTATTTATGGCTCTTGATAACTCCGATATATTTCATAAATCCTTCTCAATGGTTCAATTATCAAACGGTAATTATGCGTCACGAACACTATGGATAGTACTCTACCTCGCTTCTCATCGTGAAATCGAAACGTCAAGGGTTGATAATTCAAAGGGGACCAGACGTACTCGCTCTCGAGTCTTTGATCGCGGTCGAAATTAATCAAAACTTTAGTCTGACATTGCACAGTAATAATTATCGAATTTATTAATGATTTTAAATAATAAATAATAAGTAATTTGATAGAATAATAAATATTTTTTACATCGTTTCCATGTAAAAATATTTTTTACATCGTTTCCATGTAAAAATACGAGGAAATATTCGCGTATTTATGATATCAAGATTAAAATGATATCAAGATTATCTATGAAGTCACTAAAATTGTGACGGCTTGAAATCCCGATTCCAAGTTCTCTCTCCAAGTCAGTTTGAGTTCCCGCAGCCTCTCTCTTTCTCACTCTCACTCTCTTTCTCTTTTGACTTGCATACCGCGCCAGGTTCGCGCCATGCAGCCTCTACCTGCATTCCAGCTTATCCGGTCGACCTCATTCCGCCATTATATTATTTCGTTAGTTCTCTCGGCTCTCTCGACATTCTCTCGAATGTCGTCTTCCGCTTGTTTGCGCGAAAGCGAGTTTTCGGCATCGAATTATGTCACACGACGTCCCTGACATTGCGCTTGCGACTCGAGATCATGTCTTTGAAATTTTTGCGATGAAGCAATATCGCTTATAAAAAAATCGCATGATAAATGAAACATAATTTCGTTTCACATTTAATTTCTTCGTCGAGAAGAACAAAATTACATCGATATAAAAAGTAAACAAAACAAATAAATTATGACAATACAAATAAAAATAAATTTAATAAATTATTGTATTAATAAAAATAAATTTATAATTTTTTTTCCAAGTTCAGAAAGAAAAATTTTCTGTTGACAAAAGATCAATACTGAGAAGTCATCAAGATAGAGAAGTTTGACATCAAATTTCGATTTTTCATTTTTAATAATGCGAATTTTTCCTTTCGATTTCTTTATGATTTCTCATTAATTTCTCTTTCGATTTTGTATCCATCTTCGTAAAGTCATATCCCTCGGTAGCGACAAGCAGTGCCTGCGTAACACGCAGACTCTCTCCTGGCATTATGATCATCGACAATCGTATTCATTACAAGCCGATTCGATCACTGTCAGCAGCAGGCAAGTAGATAGCATCGAGAGCATACATCGATATTCATTATTCGTTACGTTATTCCGAGCGATCGGATGCGTGCTTGGGTCATTCACCAAATGCATTCATATAGACTATAAATCAACTGCCGCGAAAATATTAACTCCCTCGACCGCACACGTGACACAGATATTTCACGACGGGGCGATCGCACGCGTGTTACTTTACACCGCGTTACAGCGCGATTGCATTTTTATGCCGGACATTGATGGATTGGTGGGACTCGGTGACGGATTATTCGCGGTGGCTGTTCCGATATGCAAAAAAAATTTGCCCGTTTTAAAGATCCATAAGTAATAATTATTATTTTATTTACGACAATTAAACGGACAATAAAATATTATGCTGCTGATGAATATACAATAAAGATTACATATGTGGAATTATTGTATAGTAATAAAGAATATCTCTAATATACGATGATAATAATAATAAAATATTATTTATGATATTCATAACAAACATCGAGAAAGTAATTATTAAACGCGGAATAAAATAACGGCTCGATTAAATTTACTTTATTATATGTTAATTAATGCTCCAATTAATATTCCGCGCAAATAATTTGATATTTTATACCGGCATAAAAATTAACATCCGTGTAATAAATTAAGTAAACATTTTTAGTCTTTACAATTTTACCGACAGTTATATTCGAAAAATAAATTGTATAAAATTTAGATTAATATTCTAACTGCCTTAGTTCGTAGCTCTTTTCGCTATATATTATGGAGGCGTGTCGCATTTATATTCGACGTGCCAAAAATGGAACTGACAGATTATTAAGTGAATTAAGTCATCGCACGCGAGATTAGACGATCCGTTCTATAGGTGCGATGTAACGATCCAGCAAGGAGAATCACCTGCTAATTGCTGGTCGTTGACACGCACGCGTGACACGACTTAGCATAATATACACGATCATAATCGATAAATTCCTTAACGAGTCGCGCGACAGATATGTGATCACCGAACTGCTCCAGAGCGACCTGCACAAGATCATCGTGAGCCCACAGCATCTCAGCCCGGACCACATCAAGGTCTTCCTTTATCAGATCCTACGAGGTGAGTGTCACCAGCTTTACATATATTTTTCTTAATGCGTGTTTGATTGGAATTGTTTAAAATCGACAAGACTAAAAAGAATAAAAAAATAAAAGAATAAAAATAGATTTTTATTATAATAAAATAAAAGAATAAAAATATATTTTTTATTATAATAAAATAAAAGAATAAAAATATATTTTTTATTATAAAATATATTTAAAATTTACAGCTTTATGTATTTTAATGTAGATGTGTGTGTGTGTGTGTGTGTGTGTATTATATTACATTGTATTTTAAAACTTTAAATATAAAGAGATGTAGATATAAATAGAGATTTTTACTGCCAAGTTCACACCTGCCAAATTAAAGAAACGAAGCGGAGATGCGATACAAGCAGATAACTAGTAGGTCAGCTCTTAAGACACAATGGGTACATTCTCGGTAGGAAGCAAAGAGCCTATAGAGAAAGCGGGAAGGGGAAGGAGAGAGGATGGGAAAGTTCGAAGTTAGAACTCCCAGGGCGACGAAGGTGTTGGTCCAGTCTCTAGGGTCCAGTCTCTAGACGACCTCTCAGAAGTCGTTGAGGTCGAGATTCCGAGATAGTCTTACCAGGTGGGATAAGGGAGGGCAGGGGGGAAGAAGTGGAAGAAAGACGGAACAGGAGGGGGAGAAAGGAACGAGATGAGAAGGAGGCAAAAGAGGAAGGAAAGTCGACGCTTATAAAAATCCACGAGTAGCATATTGCTTGTGTCGTCACCAAGGGAAGTTTGGGTGGCGGGCGGGGAAGGAAAGCGGAAGGATGGGCGGGGGTGAGAGAGCTGAGATAAACAGGATCGTTTCTATTCATCCCTCGGGATCATCCCAGGGATCTCGACGCTCCTGCTCTATCCTTACATTGTCTGGCTCGCCGAATTACCTGTTTCCCTTCCCTCCGTCACTCCTGTCCCCTCTACTAGGATCTGAAAAATGTCCGTTCATCCTTTTGGTCTCGTTTATTTTTCTTTCTTAATCAGTCTATCGCTATTTTCCCCCTTTCGTGAAAAGAAAAAAAAACGCAAGGTATTCTCTGGTGAGACTTATTTTCAGCAAATATAATCAATATGTACAACGTGATTTATTTAACGTAAAACATGATAAAAAATGAAGATATTAGGATATCTATTGGTATTAATAATAATTGGTAATAATAAAATAAAAAAATGTATATATAAATGTAACAAAAACCAAGAAGCAAGAAGATGATTTTACAAGTTATTTTATTTCTTTATATTTCTATAATTATGAAGATATGAAAAATTTGAGATTTTTGCTCGAGTTAGTATAATTACATTATTGAATATAATCAAAAGCGCAGAATGTGCGTGATTATGTCTCGCGAACGTGGAATTTTATTATGAGTTTGTCGCCCCTATGTTTCATCGCATTGTTTCCCGAAATTACGGAATAAATATCTCATCGAGCGAGAAAGAGAGCGAAACAACAGATCAAAGAGTGCGTGGATTAAAGGGATTACGTGACACGTGGGGGATATAAAAAAAAACCAATGTGTGTGATATCTGAAAATGAAATTCCATGATGATAATACACAAGCACGAAAGCCATTATCTCGATTCAAGATTCTTCGATCAAAAAAGGATCTCGAGGATCTTGCTTTGTTTTTTGAATTTTCTGCTCTGGCAGATATTAATTTCAAATAATGTAGCTCGATATATTTGTATATATTTTGAAATTTTTGATTATGTTATATATATTTTGAATTTTTTTGTACATTTTTTTCAGTGTGAAATAAAATATAGAAAAGTCAAGATTTATATATTAAAATAAATAAAATAAAAACCCAGATTTGGTCGACCAACATTCGAGCATCGTGTATCCGTCATATATGCATGAAATACTATATCGGTATATATACCACTGCAAGCAACTATTTACGACGGTCAATCGCGGGCTCTTTTATTGGACGTGAAAAGAATGGTGACCTAGTGAACCGTCTTTTCGATCGATTTTGCTTATATCGTGGCACTCGATGAAATGAATTCTCTAAGAGAGAGAAAAAAAGAGAATGAGAGAGAGAGAGAATGGACGAAGGAAAACAGATGAGAAGAGAAACAAGAGAGATGTGTGCTAAATTCGTTACGCTTCTCTCTTTGTATATCATGCGATACATCATTTCTAGATGATATTAGAGTACGCTTTATGATCTATCACGTGCACATAAATATTCACTGCCGATCGAATCATTCCCCTAATCTCGGTGGTTTCACCGAGAAATTCGCGCGATGAATGCATTGCGTCAAATTAAATTGAGAAGAAAGAATAACAATTGCAACTCACGCAATTATTATATATATATATATATATATATATATATATATATATATATATATATTCAATACAATTCCTAATAATTAATCAGACAGATTAAAACAAGATTAAATTTAAATAAAAAGAAAATAAAAATTTAACTTTCAAAGTTGAATCTCAAATATTTCAAAAAGAGAATTGAAAAAAAACAATAGTAATTGCGACTCACGCAATTATTAGTATATTCAATAATACAATTCCTAATAATTAATTACATAAATTAAGACACAAGATTAAATTTAAATAAAAAGAAAATGAAAATTTAACTTTTAAAATGGAATCTGAAATATGTCGAAAAGAGAATTGAGAAGAAAAAATAATAATTGCGATTCATGCAATTATTAGTATATTCACAATTCCTAATAATCAATCAAACAGATTAAGACAAGATTAAATTTAAATAAAAAGAAAATAAACTTTTAAAATTGAATCTCAAATATGTCAAAGAAAATTGAGAAGAAACAATAATAATTGCGATTATTAGTATATTCAATACAATTCCTAATAATTAATCAAACAGATTAAGACGAGATTAAATTTAAATTTAAAAAAAATGAAAATTTAACTTTTAAAATTCAATCTCAAATATGTCAAAAAGAGAATTGAGAAGAAAGAATAATAATTGCGACTTATGCAATTATTAGTACATTCAGTACAATTTCTAATAATTAATCAAACAGATTAAGACGGGATTAAATTTAAATAAAAAGAAAATAAAATTTAACTTTTAAAATTCAATCTCAAATATGTCAAAAAGAGAATTGCAGTATTCGAGGCAGAATGAACAACTGTCTCATATCCTTCTGCAACCGAGTACATCGGTTTCGTCTTTCGTTTATTATGCCGAACGGTACGGAAGACGGTTGTAAATAGGCGTAAAAAAAAAAGGTAGCCGCGTTAATTCATCATTCGGCGCGTCGACACTTTTGTTTCTCTTCCAGCCGCTTGTTTTCGAGGATAATTTGTCATGACAGTTCTCGTTGCATCCCAACCCTCCTGCCCCCACCTCCTCCCCCCGCTCTCGTTCTTCCCTCGCGGTGGGATGCATCTCTCGAATCACGATGCGAAGGAGAGCTCGTCGCGTTCACCCTTCGCTTCCGCTCTCGCTGGAAGGAGGTTTCTGGCGCAGCGCGAATGCAACGCGAGTGCAACACAAGTGCAGCGAATCATTATGCGCTGGCCGAGCGAGGCATACCGCTGCGAATAGTAATTTTTCCTCGTTTTCTCGTTATTAAGATCTTTCCTGTCTCATCACGGTGACGTCTTTTCGTTTTTTTTTTATCTTATCTCTGTCTCTTTTCTTTTTTTTCCCCGTTCACGACGGCGTGATGAGATAGAGTCACTCCTGAAATTACTGTCTTCGATACTCGCGAGCTGGAGAGAAGAAATGGTTTCTCAATGTAATGTAATGCGATTGGAATAACGGAATGAATAGCGGCGAAATTGCATTTCGAGCCATGTTTATCTTCGATATCAAGAACTTCTGATTTATAGATAATAAATGAATAAGAGAGGGAACGAGGAATGTAATAAAAGAGATATTAATTCTACGATAGTTGGCATAGTTACAAGATTAATAGATAATTTGGTATAGTTTTATAACTAAATATATAAGATGAATTGAAGAAAATTTTGAACATTATTTTTATATTATTATTTTAATATTATTTTATATAATATTTAATAACACTTTTAATATGAAAATACCGATCGTTGAGTGATAATTTAATTGCATAAATTTATATATTTTCTACAAAATGCGACACAAAATTGGAATTTATTACACGTCGGAAAGTATACGTATAAACAATTTTAAATTTATTAAATTAATACCTCTAACATTTCCAAGGTAGCAGGTATCAAGATTGCCGACCATCTTGCACCTGTCAAAATTCTCACGTTTATAATTTCGATATTAAACATCTGAAGAGCGTCTCTAATCATTTTCGCTTCGCGGTCGGTCATCTTCTTTTTGCGAAATATATTACTATCGTGAAGAGCAAGGAGAAACTGCGCTCGTCGATCCTGGACCAGGATCTCCGATTCTCCTGGCCGCATCCATCGGTCAACGTCCTTTACGAGTTCGACCCGGGGCCCCGTTCTCCGGGCTTGCCCGAGCTTCTGCGTGCTTCAACGGTACATTTCTCCGGACGGAGAATGATGCCGTGAACCGGAAAGCGAGCGGCACGCGTTTTCGACGTGTCCGATAAAGGCCCGGCTGTTTCCGCGCGAGCCAAAGTCGTAATCGCGCTTTTTCACGTTGCACGTTCGACGCATTAATCTTCGATACTCCAAGAATTCCAACTGGATCAAAGTAAAATATTCCGATGATGCGGCAAAATTTTGTGACAATCTGTCGAGCATCGCTCTCCATTCCACGTGCTTCTCTTACATATTGTACTTTTTTCAAGAACTAGTTTTTTGTACGTTCTTTCATGACCAGTAGTGATTGCGAAAAGTAATCCCTTTTTTTCATCGTCATTAAATATTAATTAAGCATGCTGTTACCTAAGATACTCGAAAACTCCTTCTCAATAAAATAAACTCAATAATTAATAAATAACATAGTGAATATTTATGACTTTCACGCATGTCATATCGAAAAAAAAAAAGAATTCAGCTTGTCGATGACACTTCGATTTGGAATATGCATT